AATACTATAATAATTTTGTTACTATAGAAAAAGCTATTTATTGCCGAGTTTAATGAAATTGATTTAAACTAGCTGATCTTTTCCTAATTCATATCATTATGACTACCATCATATTAGTTATTAAATTGTTTATTGCAATACATAGGCTTTCTTCTTAAACTATATATTTTAAGTGCGTGATAAACAGTGATGCAACGTTTCACATAAGTATCTCCATAGATTTTTTTATGCGTATTATTTATCCTCCAAAATTAAACATAATATTGTCTGGTACACAAATTAGAAATCTATAATTGGCTAATGTATGGTGTAAATATAATTTTTCAATTATTCTAGATATAAGCTGTTGATTTCAAATGTAATATTAAAATAAAAAATAGGAAGATTCTCGAGCCACTAGCGTTTATTAACTTCCTGAAATGCATTCAAACTTGTCGCTCCTTCTAGTAACAAGTTATTACACTGCATTTACCTATATGAAGTCGCTATGTGAGAAATATTTTTTCCCATCACATCACAGTTCTCGAAGTTATATGGCCCAGCCATTCCTACTTCAGCTTGCTTATCTTTGTATTTTCTATTGAATACTTATTGTAATAAATACAAAGGCAGAGTGTTAATGGATTATTCTCATCAATTATCAAGTTAATTGTACCATTATTGGATTGCTCGAAGTTGATGTGAATGGTACATTTGTATCTGTCAAAATATCACTGATTGGAACTACGAGCAGATTAATGTACCTAGTCAGTTACTACGTAAGTGCTTCTTTTATTATTTATTTATTTTATTTATTCTTTATTTTACAATACAATTTGTTTTAGTGGTCAGCTTAATGCTGTATGGAATTTTATATCAACTAACCATTAGTATTATTAGTGAAAAGAAAAAAACGTTCGAGTGGCAAAGATAGCGAAAAAGCTACGACATATAATTATTGCAATATACTGGAATAATTAGCATATATTACATAATATTCTAGAAAATATGATACTTACTCGTATCTCTTTGTGTGTAAATTTAAGAGGTTATTAATTTGGGATTGTCTGTTAATATAGAATTCGATTTTCAATTGACACTGTAATGAACGTATTTCTTTAATTTAGATAAATCTAATAATTGTAACATGTTTTAAATTGTTAAAAATTCCTTTTAATTTTTTTTACACTGTTCAGTATACTTTGAATTACTGGACTGGATAAGTTTGCCATGTTTTGCGGTAGGCCACGTACATACCTACTCTTTAAAGGGTAGGGTCACGGTGGCTGTGTAATGACATCGGTGCGACCAATATTACTGTGGACGATTATTTGCTCGTCTATTTCTGTGTAATAACCATTGAAACCGTATTTGTAATGCTATTTCATCACTATTTCCGTATCATTATCGACAACCTTTGCACGGAAGAGCTTTGTGTAGCAGGAAATTATTATTAATGGGGCATAAGCGGCTCCATTGCTAACAATATGAGTATGTAATAAACCTGTCAGATTAACCTTCACATTTTCTTCCCTGGAAATCATCGTGATTAATATTCAGTGAATTTGTCATGATGGACCAACCTATCAGACTTGATTCTTGTACATCTTCCGTCACTGGTGCTTCGCCAACGTAAACCTACAACAACAAACGTAGCAGACAACTGTTTTTGTATTACAGTGTGGGAAAATGAAGGTAAAATTATTCATTTTTTTTTATCTTTACACCTTTTGGATTTTTGCTGTTGTCTTTATATGTATAATTCCTATAAGTGGCTTCTTATCATGATTATTCATGTATATATTTGACACTTGCAACAAAAACAAAATATCTATATGCTCATTTTTTTTACGATAATTTGAATAATTATGAGTATACCTAATTATTCATTTAATTAGATTTTACTACCAAAGACATTTCGAAAAAAATCGTATTATAAGGAACAGATTGTAATAGATACAAAATTAAAAATACATTTAAATTTATATCAGAAAGACTAAGATTCTTTATACTCTTACCTAAATTAAGTAAAGATTAAGTAAACCTATTTACTCGTCTGTTTTAAATTAACTGAATCTTCTTATAGTAATATGTTAATACAATTGACTGTTCGTACCAGGTTTAAATTATGCACACTTATTAATAAACATACTTGTTCTTTTCCACAAATGAATATTGATGTTTTAATACCGGTTTTCCCCTCTTACTTCACTATTAAAGGTTTGTTTAAGATTATTTGTACCCAAGTAGATACATCAGAGAGTTTGGAGTCAACCGCATATCGTGGTTACCCACATGCAATCGTTTTCAAAGGCTTTGGGCCGGCAAGCGACCAGCGAGGAATGAAATGTATGCAATAGTTAAATTGGACTTTGTTAACTATTTCGCCCGTGCCGACCTCACTTAAGAGAAACTCCCCTTAAAAAGGAGTTATCCATTTTCAAGAGGCGTAAGTAGGTTGAAGTTGGATGTGCATTTAGAATTATTTTTATTTGTATGTATTTAGCGAGTAAATTCTAGTAGGTACAAAAATAAATTAAGATTTGAATTCATAAAATAAAAACAGACTTGAATCGTGGTAAAATCAGTTATTTTGATTAAAAATCTAAATTACTAAAACGGTTTTGATAAAATTTCTAGGACATCAATCTGAAAGTATATCCTTTCGGATAAAAAGTCCAAATCGACTTATAAATAACGGAGTTTTTTTTTAATGAAAATGTAATGGTAGCCTATGCCTAGCGTTATTAGTATATGCTGGGGGGACACCAATGAGAGATCATAGGTAAGAAAAAAGAAGGTCATTAGGCCCATCGTGATGAATTCATCAAAAATTAAACAAGATGGTTTCCATGGTGAACCACGTGGAAGTCGTCCTAATATGTATATTGCTAGTAATTGATCTGTTAGATCTCTACTACTACTAGATACTAAAAATCCCTGTCCCCCCAAAATAATAACGCAGTTATGAGGCATCAATTTAAAATTATAACAGAATTCAGGTCTTCTTTTTTTTAAAGTTGGTTTAAATCTTTCATTAAAGTAACTTATATTAGTATTTTTTAGTATGGTATATATAAATGCACTATAATACTACATTTCATTTACACATTTTACAATTATATTTATTTCGTTATTTAAATAATATGATACTTATTATCCATGTATTGCAGTAGTTCACGGAATGCATTATCGTATTTGTAATGTTGAAAGTGTTTTTCACGATCATATTAATTTTGCTTTCTTATTATATCATGATGATAAAATCGTGACGTGTCGTGCTGCGGTACGGTAAGTTATAGAAAGATTTTTCAATTAGGCCGTATGGCTATTGAAAGATATAGTCGTATATAGCTCATACTTACGTAATCCGTTCCCTACCGTTTGAGAACTATATGAATTTAGTAGTTTCAAATAGCTCCCTAGTCTCGCTGTCACGATCTTGAGGACTTATACCTATCTAGTCTCAAGAGAGAGGTGTCAAAGACGGCAAACGATGTTTCTATGTTAGCCAAAGTCCCCCGTTACTTGAGATTATCTACATGTTTCCAATTTCGAGCTTTCAACACCTCGGTACTTTTTAGATCAAAAGACGTCACTCCCAAAGTTGCTTTATGATTCTCAATAAACTTCAGAGAATGAAATGAAAAAACAGTTGTAAGAGAATAATTTATATAGTTCTCTTTAAATATAAAAGAAACGAATTGTCATGAAATTTAAAAAAGGAAGGTTCTTGCTTTCATATACATATTTATTTGCGAAAATCTGCTAGCATCTTCCATATTTTAAAACAAAAAGACCTTTGGTTTCATAGACTATTGATGGTACCTGCATTAATTTTGTTATAAAATATTGTAGTGTTGCTTACATTTTAAATTATTTTTATCAAACAGATTTAATAATATGTATTTACATTTTATAGGACAATAAATTGTTTGTGTAGATATAAAATGGTATTTAAATAGTTATTTACTAAAAATATTTATGTTAAGATCCCAAAGAAGTCAAAGAGTCTGAATAAATTAGAGAGCCTTTAGTTGTAAAGTGCATTTACTGGGCTACATAGGTAGAAATTCTATTTATAAATAGGTACTTATTACAAATGTAAATAAAGCAAATCAAGAATTTTTTTTTGATAAATTAATTAAAAGGTTTAATAATTTAAACCTTTGTACTTTGTAATAAAGTCCGATATGGGCATTAAATGCTCAAATATCACAGTACGATATTTCAATACAAATATACATCCATGACCTATGGCCTTCAGCGTGGAAAAAGTATTCCTACATCTTTTATTTTGATTTATCTCTTCAAAAATATCCTTTGTATATTAGCTGTAAGTTTAAGTACTTCTGTCCCACTCGTATTTCGACCGTGAAGCAGTTACGCTTGTATAGCTGTATTTTGGTTTGAAAGGTAAGATATAGTAAAGTAACTAATAATTGAAACAAATTAAAAATGAAGAAATAACTTGTGCTAGTAATTCTTTTGAAAGTTCTCATTGAAGTTAAATATTGAGGCGTGCTGAAAGACAGAGACGAGCACCTCAACGTTTGAACTTGTAAAGGGAGAGTATTGTAGTATATTCTATGATAAGTGTGTCTAAGGTTGGAAACATTGTATATGTAACATGTCTCTTCTCTCTATCATGGCGTCCTTTATTAAAGTGCATTTTTATTTATAAGTGTTTTTTAATTACAAGGGAAAGTTATTTAAGCGTGAAAAGCACATTCAATGTTTTACATTGTATGAAGATTAATTTTTTTAAAACATGGGGGCAAACGAGCGTGCGGCTCAGCTGGTGGTAAGTGATTATATAGTCACTTGCAACATTAGAGAAATTGCAGGTGTGTTACTGGTCTTTTAATAAGGAATATGATCTTTTCTTGAAAGTTTCAATGATGAATAGTTGTTCAGTTTTATAAATATAATAAATGACGTTATAACTTATTAAATATAACGTCATATATCTTTTGTAAATGATTTATGACATAAGTACATTTAATTTCTGATACTATGTATTTATTTCATTGGTTTATTAAATTAGACGACATGTAAAACATATGTTTTTTGACTAGTTGTACACAATATATTTTCCATGTAAAAATAATTTATATATATAACTATTAATTAGCGAAATGAGGTAGCTACACAACTCTGTATTTAAAACTTCATGTTTAGATAATTTAATATAAAGATCCCATACTATTCAACAATCGAACCGCATTAGAATTTACATCCTTCATTCTAGACTTCATATTATTAGGTTGTTTCCTCCACAGCTGTTTAGAATGACTTATTAGTGCTTGATAAAATGTATTTCTCCGTATTTCTATTCCAAACTTTTCGCAATGTTCAAATAATGTTGGGTACAGATAAACAAGTTCTGCGTGATCTAATGTTGGGAATAAATGGTGAAGAGCATGATTGCCGAATCGGGTGAGCGACGTAAAATGACTGGTGTGATCATCATTATCAATAATAGTGTCCAGTTGATGAATTCCCCAATCCAAAACTTCGGATCTGTAAAAATCAATAAATTATGGTTAATATATGTTGTAAAGGTATATACAAATTTTATCAGTTATGTAATAAAATACAACAAAATACATTATCTATTGCACTTAAAAATACAGTAATAATATTACAATTATTAGATACAATGTGAGCAAAAGAGGATTCATCTCTAAAAAAGATCTCGTTCAGTCAACCCAAAACAGTAGCATAAGAAGATTTGAGTGGACATCAGTAGTACAAAAGAGTGTTGAATTTAAATGCCAATTATATTAGTTATGAAGTTATCAAAACTTACATATATCTTTATAACTAGGTAATTATATACAATTCTATTACAAATTAATATAATTAAATACATGTTAACACAATAATTACAATCTTAATCAAGCATCAATACAGAAGTATTGAAAATCCTTACTAATATTCTAAATGTGAAAATGAATTTATTTGTCTAGCTGTTTATTTGATTGTTTGTTATATTTTAGCCTCTTAATAGCTTAATTAATTAATCTGAAATTTTGGTTACACATTCCATATGGGATGAAAAAGGAGATAGGCTATTTTTATCCTGGTTAAAGTCGCATACTAGTAGTATTAAATAATTTTCTAGACATAAGAAGCTAACAACAGATTTTTAAAGTTGTGGAGTAGTAAAAGTTGTGGCATAAGTTTCTCCAAATACATTTGGCATTCAGCAACGTAGTTTTACAGCCTAGCTTTCAGCAATACAAGAAAATGTACTTATCATATGTTTAGTACCCATACATTAGCAGACTTTAAATAGGAACTTTGAGATGAATTTAATTCAAAGTTTATAATGTACGTAGTACTCAGAGGTGCCATTAACTCAACAAAATTTCAAAGGGTAATTTGCGGGAATATGGTGTACAATAGTAAGTACGTTTTAACTAATATAATCTCAAATTTCGTAATATTAATTTAAATAAAAATAACAATAGTCGCGCTCTTTGTCTATTTTTTACTTCAGTACAGAACTAGTAATAAAGTTATTGAAGTCAGAGGACTTTGATAATATTATTACTCTTTTCTAAGCAAAATAAAATTAATTATATATATAAAAACTAATTACAAAATTAATATTCACTAGTAATCTTATTATTATTATGACAAACATTTAAAATATTTAAATTTCGTACACAGAATTGGGTATCAGGGTAGGTATTAGATGTTTTTTTGTAAACCGGATAGATAAACGGAACACTATCATCACAAAAATATTATGATATAAACACGGAACTGACTAAGTTTATTATTAAAATAATTACCTAAATTAATTTACGTTCAAAACTGATGATCTAATCACGTAACAAACACATAAATACAGAGACATTAAGAAACTCTTATAAATATGACACACAATGTCCAAAGGCTACGTTAATTTACAATAGATGTAATTTGATCATGTACAGCTAAGTTTGGCAACTTCTATTTATTTAATATTATAGAAATGTGGAACAATCCCCTATTTTATTGTTTTTCTTCAACTTATAAATCTTGGGATCTTTAAAAGAAAAGTAAAAAAGAAGCCAGTAAACACGCATAGCGTGGTCAAGCGATAGATTCACCTAGCTCGCGGGTTGATCTTGTTCATTAATTGTAATCTTGCTTCTGTAGATATTCGTTATACTGCCAAATATCGAGCTATAAGTATTATAAAAAAATATAACGTAAAGAGTATAGTTATTACCTGGGTATATCCCCATCAAAAAAGTTGGTATGGGCATGATGTCCAGCTGTCAGACCGTAAACTGTGAAGTAAAAGCTACTAATCATCATTGTGGCAGCCCAAACAGGTAAAACTATAGTAAAAGGCATCCGTGACGCTAACCACATCCAAGTCGGTAGACTTAATGGTATGATGTGTGACCAATGTATATATTTACCATCGAGTTTTCTTATAGATGATAGAAATCTGAAACAAAACAAACGTTTATGCGTTAAAAGAAAACTGATTTTTCCTCTATTAAAAGTTAATACTATTTAGATAACATCAGTTGAAAAGAAATTATATTACTAAGGTACAGAGTAATAACACCTGAGTCCTCAGGAAAGGCAACGCGTGGGGAGTATCATAGGGGAAACAGTATACTCTGTTATGCCGTGGGCATCATATCTATAGGCGACGGTTACCACTTTCCATCAAGTGGGATGTCAACTTGTTTGCCATTCTAAGTTGATCAAAAAAATAAAAGCAATTTTGTACAAAGACATCTAAAAATTATTGATTTCTATCTAGTAATACCATCTGAGAGTGGAGTCTAGAGTTTACAGAATTAAAAAGACTGTATAAACGTCGTCTACTTGTAGTGCTACTTTGTCGTTTAATAGCTATATTTACATTACATAAAAAATAGAGTGTAAACATGGGACAATTTATGAACACGACTGGAACAAGAGATGAACTCCATATGGAATGATTGCTATTGGCACTTGGTTCTCTCTGCTCAACTCACAAGGGACCTAGCGTGAAAAAAAAAATGGATATACAGATAATGTAAAATATAGCATACCATTCATAACAATAGGATGTAATATATTGGGTCATGACAGTGTCCTTTTCCTATCTATCTGTTTATCTACAGAGATAGACTATAGGCTGAAATAATATATGAGAACAACACAAACACATTTTTATCCTGAAAACGTAGTGTTCCTGCCAAAAAATCAAATGACGCCCCGTTTATCTGGGTAAGAGTAATGGGCTTGATGTCCTAGCTTTTCCGGGTCTGATGGATTTTGATTTGTTATGATTAACACATTTCCTACCATTTTTCATAGCTACTAAGATTAGTACATATAACTCATTATTTGATTATTTAAATGATACCTTAATTAAGAATTTACGTATGAATATCGAAATTAACTATTTTTTCTATTTTTGTATTAGTCAACATTATTTAATATGATATTTATTAATTAGTATTTCTAATAATTACTAACTATATAAATTAATTGAAATTCTACTTACTCTACAGTCATCAGTGTTATTTGCGAAAATGGATATATAAGTGGCCAGTAAAAAGCTCCTAATTGAATCCAGAATGATTTATCTTTGTAAGGCATGAACTTAAGAAACGGTTCCAACATTGTTAATTCTATATCTTGCAGAGTATTTGTATGCATATGATGTGACATTGCATGTGAAATGCGCCATTCCCTGAAAAATTAAAAATTAATAATGAAATTTGTATTAAGAAAAGAATATTAAAAATAAAAATAAGTATTAAAAATAGCCAGATAAATTTATAAAATAAAGCTGACATTAAAAAACAAGAGTTGCCTGATGATAATTGAAGACCGAAGAATATCACAATCGTAATATTACGCGACACTTGCATATTGTTGACTCTAAAGAAAATTTATTATGCTGTATTCGAAGACGCTTATGATGGACTTTTAGGGAAATTCTTAGAGAAGTTCTTAGCAAGAAGGAGCCATAACATGTACGGGGCCATAATTTTTAGTGTAAGGGGAAATCCCGTAGAGATGATAAAAAGTGTGATGATTGAATGTGCTCTTAGCCATATTGTTGAACAATTAGATATATGTAAAAATCTAATATTAAAGTATCAACTGTTAATACGAGTACTACTTACTTGTAAGATGGTCCGCCAAAATTGAATAAGAACATACGCCAACTATCAGCGCGATGAAAGTAGTTATGAGCACAAGTAATCAAACCGCTTAATGTGAAGCCGCTGAGAACTGTTAAGGACGCACCGAGAATGTAACTTTGTGACCAAGCCCAACAACTCAAAGGACTTAAAATTATACATGCTACAAGTAATAAATCGGTCACAACATCACTTTGTTTTCTGACATCTTTAGGTATATCCTTAATTTTTTCCATGACCTTCGCTTTTAATGTCTTGTAAAACCCGTTCTCTTCGAATGTAAATGGAGAATTTCTTGGTGTTGTGACTTTTCTTATGAAATATTTTGGAAGAATTTTCTCAGCTGACCCTTTTAGATGGTGCGTTTCGAATAGTTCGGTTATATCTGTGCCCTGTAAAGAAAACAAATATTTTAACAGCAGTAGACCTTTATAACTTACTTTTAAATTTGTATTTACAATTCTCAATTGTTTCTACCAAAGATAAATAAGGAAAAGACTTATGAATTATTAGTAGCTAGACTGTAATTATACTTCAATGCTAATCTCGGTAGATTTACATCTCCGAGATCGTAATTCAAACTAAGTGATTAAACTACACAAGTAATACAAACTTTTGAACTACATCATCATTCATTTGAATTGTTTACTTTATTTGTATCTGGTACAATAAAGAGTAAATCTATAGGTATTATAGTAGAATCGTTAGAGCCAAAAAGTTTGTACATTGATTTTTTCGCGAAAACTAGCTAGAAATTCGAAATGCTGTAAATTTTTTTACTGTTACAGCTACTATCAAATATTAATTATATCAAATATTAATTGAATTGCCACGTAAAGCTGTCATGTGATAAACTATACAAGAGATTTTTTTTATAATGAAGGTAGCTTAGAAACTCTTTGATACCAAAAGGCTCTACCTTTATACGAATAGTAATAGCGCGTATAGTAATTAATTAAATGATGGATTAGCTCAATATAAGAACTAGTGTATCTCAATATGTGAGCTATACTTTACCTTATTTCTCTAATACTCGTATATGAAGTCGCGTAATAACAAGTGAAAGAGGATAACATATTTAGCATCCTATTTTTTAGATGCGATACGCTTACCCAGTACTATGATTATTAAATTTAATTATGAAAGTCTTGATTTTCAGTACTTTCCTTACTATTTACTTTGATATTATTGACTTACTTTCATATTATTATTTTGTTAGTTTTAATATTAATATATAAAAATATGTATAATTGGTTAAGTGTGAGTAACGAACATATATAAAACTTTACAAACTTTTATATATATATATATATATATATATATATATATATATATATATATATATATATATATATATATATATATATATATATATATATTATTGCACTTCTAAGTTACATATAAAATAATCTATTTATAAATGTTGTGAGCAACTTACACTTAGGTATAATATTTGCCTGTAATTACTATACATTTTCACTTTGTATAGGAAATTTAAAGAAAGGTTCTTGAGTGGCAACTTCATATAAACAAGCGCAGTATAAGATGACCCCCACCTTACTAGATGAAGCGACGATTTCAAATGCATTGCAGGATGTTAGTGGATACAAGTAGCTTAGGACTGTTTAGAGGAGGTTTATGTTCAGCAGTGGACAGTTAATAGCTGATATGATATGATGATACGAAGTTTACCAATAATATACTCGAAGCCAAGTAATTTATTTGATATGGCAGATATATATTAATATTTTTTTATAAAAAAATTTCAACCCACAATTTAATGCCAGACATAATTATTTCACAATAAAACAAGGTAACGTAATATAACGAGAATAAAATAAACGTTCGTTCTACATTATTTGAAGGTTATCCACAATATTTGGGCCCATGAGAAATTTGACTGTACCAATGAGAAAGTAGAGTGAATATAACTGAAGGTCATTGCGGAGTGTTGCGTATTATATTCTGAGTGGTTTTGTATCCACAAATTAAACATATTTTTATTCTTTTAAAGTAAATAGTAAACTTATCAAAGAGATCCTTTAGAAATACCAGCAAGTAAGCAATCTTAAATTCTAAAATTCTTATAACTTTTAAAACTCAGTACGTTTTTTATTATAAATTTGATGTGTTTATTTAGGTATAATACGTTCTGTGAATCACAAATATAAGATATTATAATTAAGGTGTATATTGTAGGTGTCTATACGTTTAAAATATATTATTAATATAATTAAATGTAATACTAAGTAAATTGCCAATTATTTGACAAAGACAATAGTTCAATAAAGCAAAATAATTTAATTTTCACAGAATCTTTAAATGCTACAGACGTCGCGCTTGATGTGTAACATACAAATAATGAGTTATCAAATATTGAGTTGATTGTGTTTTGTTTGTTATATAGATATCCGAAACAGTCAGTCTAAATAGAAATATCTAAAGTATTTATCATCATAATTTTTTTCGCGTTACAGTTTTTACTGTTTCGTGTCATTAAATTTATTTTTAATATAGTATTGGAAATTTCCATCGGATGCACATCATTTTACAAAGATTAGTAAATTTGAAAGCGCTAGGACTAAGGAGCTTGACTCTTCTGATTTTGGCCAGAATAATACACTTTTACAGTTTCCATAAAATTTTGAATATATTTACAATATTTAAAATTATTATTACATTTTTAAATTAATTAATATTTTACCAGATTGAGATCAGACCAAGAATGAACCGGGACTAGTATTATAGTGTGGATCCAGCTCGTATTGTACTCATATATATGTAACTAACTTGAACGACTTTATGTAATAATGTAAACTTCCAATTATTCAAAACACCATTCATTATAACAACTTGTTAGCATCCCAGTTGAGTGGGCACTTTTTATAAGATGTGGATATTATCACGTTTGCTTGCATGCTTTGTTCCTCAAATCTCTTCTAATGACCTCCTAAAGATACAAAAGGAGTGATATATTGTATTCTTACTTCATCATTACACAAATATCATTCTTTATAAGCCAAATTAATCTCCGATAAGCTGGTAAGTTTATTTGTTCTGCCACAATGTATTCATATTTTAGTGAATTTACTGGGTACAGAGGAATAACACCTGAGTCCTGAGGAATGGCAACGCATGGGGAGTATCATGGGCGAAACAGTATACTCTGTTATGTCCATGATACTGCTCATGTCTATAGGCGACGGTCACCACTTTCCATCAGGTGGGCCGTCAGCTTGTTTGCCATTCTAAGTTCTATAAAAAAAATAGTAAACTTTATTTTATATATGACCCTAGATTTATTTGAGAATTTTCTACCTAAGTATCAATTGCTATATCCGATAATGAAATCACATAACAAACTTCAGATCCAAGACACTTATAGCATAGATAGGAGATAAGTATAGACGTGAATTCCCTTTGGATTGTAACTGAACTGTATCTGTGAAGAACCATATATTATGGCTCAGTAGTTAGTTGCAGAAGTTAATGGACTCTAAATAAAATGCAGGGGAGAAAGGGATTGTTAGTAATAGGTTCAAATAGCCCCATTACTAGCAATATACCCTGTCAGGTTGACCTCCACGTAGTTCCCCCTGGAAACCATCGTGGCTAATTCTAGTTGAATTCGTCAGGATGGGTTAACTGACCTGCTTTCATTCTCATCAGTCATCGATCACTGGTGCCCCGCCAGTGTATACCCATAGCGCAGACAGGGTTACCATACCATTACCACCCATTAAAAAAAATGCAGTAATTAATTTTCTATCTTGCAATCGACTTGCAAGAAAAACATGAATTAGAAACGTACCTTCGTAAATGATATCCATTGGGATCCACCAGGATGTTTTTCAATAAAGTTAGTTAAATCATAAAGATTGTCGTAAATCCTCCATAGATCTTCAGCGCCATCGTGCATTTGTTTGCCTTTTAACCATCGTCGTGATATTTTTGGATTTTCGTTCCTTAATGGAGGATATCTTAATTGAGGAAAACTCGATTGATATCTTTCAGTATCTGGAGCCATTGTTTCTGAAAATCAAAATTACAATTACTATTAAAAAGAGCAAAATAAAAAAGAAGAATCCATCGGAGATATCTATAGATTTTATTATTTATTTATTTAAGGCAAATAGATAGCTATAATAACACATATGATAATTACACAAATAATAATTTATCAGACAATAAACTTTGCACAAATGTCTAATACAAATGAAGGAAACACAGAAAAAGAAAAATATCATCGAAAATACTGTTAATTTGTTTGTTTATATGGATAAACTCAAAAAGAACTCAATCGTTTTTAAAAATTCTTTCAGTTATAGAAAGTTATATAATCAGCGAGTAACGTAAGCCATATATTATTTTTAAAAATCTTATCTAACCGTGCGAAGCTGGACGGAGATAATAAATAAATGGCTGGATCTATGTGGCGGAAAATCCAGATATTCGTGCCTAAGGCCAGAATAGGTATAAAAAGAAAAAAGGCATTTTCCTTATTTAAAAAATAAAAATAGGTTGTTTTGCCATTTAGGCTATTTTTAAAGATGTTCACAGTTCGTTCGCTTTTTTTATTGTCAATTTATTGTTGAAATTGTATAATGATTACACGTAATAGTGTATATTATTAGGCATATATTAAGTAAGAAGTAATTATAATTGACTTTACACAAATGATATATAACGAATAAGCGGGGTGAATGTATGCCTGATTTTTAGACATAGTGATGTCACTATTCCTGACCTCACTTGATTTGGTCTTGGTTCATCCTTCATTCATTTGTAACTATAAGAAAATATATTTTTCTTCTTTAAACAATTTTATTTCATTACTTTCCAATTACACTTGTATTTATAGCTCTCAGGCATCAGTACTGTACAGTGTCTCGGTCACTATTGGACTAAATATACTATTTTTTTACTCTTATAACTATCAATCAACAAGGGCTTCTCATGCCCGCCAGATGTTGTGTGGGTGGGCGAGGTAGGGGCCTCGGGGTATACCCCTCTACCCCGGCTTTAACTATGGAGGCGACGACCTCCGGGTCGCTGGGTTCTTCAGATATACTGGTGATCTGTGTGTGGTATGATACACTGGTGGTCTGTGTATGCCGGCGTGGTGTAAAAATATATAGTAAAAATGAGCATAAGAAGTATCTCGCAGGTGGGTCGGGGTGTCTCGACTCTCCCGAAGATTCTCCGGACCCGGAGAAGGAGAACCCGGGTCCTTCGGTCCATTATAACTATGTTCAAGTGCACGAATGCTGTTTTCGGTAAAAATAGAGGGCGCTAGTTTTGCAATGAATTCAAATGCGCGCTCGTGGAATCGCTCATAGTTTCACAACTTTATTTATTTATTCTGTTTATTTTATTACAACTTTCTATAAATAACTAAGTATTATAAATTAACTTATTTATAATCATAATGTACTTTACATTGTGCAATTGCCAATTCAATAATGCGTTCTTGAATAATACCTTCTTCAATAATACCTTATTTTTCTTTTACATTATAAAACATTGATATTTAACATTCAAATACTAAATATTTCTGTTTGTAGCAAAAGAATTACAGTCTCTTATTTAATTCATTTAAATAGAGATAATAGTCAAATGAGAAGTCTTTTAGACTTCTCATTTGACTATTATTTGATAATAGTCAAATGAGAAGTCTAAAAAGGGAATACATATTTAATTCATTTAAACAGAAATAATAGTCGAATGAGACTCTTAATTTGTTTGCAGCAAAAAAAAAAACTACAACCATTTAATTTATGTTTATCGTGAATTAACATTATTATTTAATAGAAAATCATTTGCGTTTATGAAAACATTTTGTAAAGGTACTACCAAGTTAATTTTTCCTCGTTCACAGCTATCGATAATAACGCTTGCGCCGATATATGATAAAAACTTTACCACTAAAAATCTTTAAAATAATAAGTTTCAAAGAAACAATATAAGTGTGTACATGTACATTGTCGACGATGAGCCGTTAATAATGTGTAACTAGTACCCGTTTTTTTTTAAATTAATAAATATTAAACATACTATCTGTTAGCCTGCTTGCCACAATCTTAATAAATTAATTACTTCATTGAAAAACTGAGTACACTGTTACTACTTAAAAGTTTGTTGATTAAAATTTAACTTTTTTATTATAACATTCGTATCATCTTTCAATTATGGATAAGACAGAGAAGTCACGACCGAATTCACAGTTGTTTCGACAGTTACTACAAAACTGGTTTTGTTTTATACGTATATTTTAATGTAAGAAAGTGTTATAAGGAGCAAAACATATACTTTTTTATGTAGATGACTTAATTTTTTTAGAAATAACCAAATTTTGTTATAAAATTGATCGAATGATGTCAAATAGACTTATGAAAACTGGAATGATTCAATCTAAATATTATAACAAAATTAGTTGTATGAAATTCCAACTTAACGACTTCAATAAATGATAATAGCGGGGCAATTATTTATGACTATAGACGATACGCTTAGGTAAGTAGGAAAGTAGTCATTATCATCAAATTACTATGTGTAATTTAAATAGTAATTAATTTTTACATTCTTGACGATGCAGTATTGTTAATTCCGTTTACCACCAGATGGGCCGTATATTTGTTTGCCATCATAGAAGTATAAAAAAATTGTAGGATTCGTACCTTAGATTATATTTTATATTCTTGTCCTTACTGTCTTTTTTATTAATTAATATTATGAATTTGAAAGTGAGTTTGTTTGTTCTCTTTAATGCTTTAATATCTCAACCAATCATCATGATATCTGGTATATACGTATTATATAGGATAGAGGAGGATAAACTACGACATATCCCGATCATGCGGACGAAGTTGTGGGTAAACGCTAGTGCTTTTTAATCTAATGTACAGATATTCTGCATTACGTTTATGAGTCATCGTTGACTGTTTGCTTGTAACTCAAGGTATTCTTGATTGAGGATTAATAAGCAAAATTGTTAATAACATGCTCTTATTACCTTCTTGATTACAGGAAATATTATGTGGGCGATGTTCATAATTGTATAGGTATTTGTTTGTAATACTTTATTGTACAGTAAAGTTTTATAGTATATATATATTTCTTAAGAAAATAATAAGTACAACTCATCGTATAAAAAGAATTTCTTCCAGTGAACCTTTGAATGTTTAATAGAAATTGTGGATAAGAGGAGACAAAAAAATAGCTAATTAAAGAAACAGAAAAATAACAGGTGTTACAGTTACAACACGAATAAAACATTAATACTGGACAACATAACACATGAAAATTATACCTAATATATCTAAAATGATTATCAAATATATTTGTTATTATTTCTTTTGGTTCTTTTCCATGACATCCACCATGCATGTGTGAATATTTGCAAGGTTAAGTAGGTTGTATTTAAAATACGTTCAACAAAAAAAGGCTAACTTTTTGAATGCATCCTTGACTTTGTCTTTTTAACTTGTTATTTATTAGTAGCTATATAGTTAAACGAAGTTATTCCGTATATCATCATACTCATATCATCCGTTAACTCTTCACTGATGAAGACATGGGACTTTCCTTATAAAGGGGGCATTGTCAGCCTTTAGTGATGTTTTAAGAGAGACGCTGCTGCCCATTTCTCGACCATTAAGTTTGCTTAGTTGCCTTTTACGACACCCACGGGAAAGAAAGGTGTGGCCCATTCTATGTCGGGATCATATGGTAATATTCTTTGTATACTTACATCTAATTTTGCCACGACCAACAAAATGATACAGCAGAAATATTAGAAAAATACATAGGTACAACACGAATAAAGAGGTGCCGTCACCGCTATACATCATAATTTATGATGTCAATGGTGTTGTTCATGTCTATAGGTCTTTAGCTTGAATGCTATTCCCGGTAAAAAAGAAAGAAAGAATACGGGGTGTAAGGAAGAAACGAAACATGGAATATAGATGAATAAAGTTAATGTGCATACTTCTTGTAGCATATATGAAGTTTTGCTATAAATGTACATAAAACTACTGGATAAAATTTTTATTCTTTACGTATCCGTAGATACAGGTTAATTATATGGTAATCCTGCAAATTGTTGTTTGATTTATAATTATTCCGAAAATGCACATATTTTGTAATAAAAACAAAGTCGCGGCTCAGCAGTTAGATTTGTAAATATTATTTCATTTAAACTTGTGATGTATAAATAATTATCAATGAAACATAACGCAGGTTAATGAACTAATAACTAATCAATAGCTTCTTTATATAGTTAAATGCTATGATTGCATTCAATTGTTAATTTAGATTAAACAGTTTAACAAAACATGATTACATTATTAAAATGTAAACCTAATCTTTTTTTTACTCTGAATATTTAGTTAATAAATATTTTTTTAATTATATTTTTTTATCAAAAGATTAGTACACAAAATAAACATACACTTAAAATAAATATTACTTAATATGTATTATTGTATGCTATTAGATTTTGTTTATTTTATATTATTTATTAAAAAAAACATGTTATGTTTGTTGCTGTTGATGCTACTAAAGATGCCAAATATAATAAAAAACTTAAAGTTATTGATTATGTACTAACCTTTTTTGTTGTATAAGGGAACACCCTTGTTTATAGGTGATATATTGATGTAGATTCCAGTGCAATGATATTGATTAACACATACAGATAACAAATATTGATTAAAACATACACAAATACACCCGAATATGCGCGAGCGCCCCTGCACCGGTCTTGTTTTATACTGATTGCGCGCGCGTTCTTTCTGTTGAATTTGATAGCATAGCATTCGAATCCAATTAAAGTATAATTATTTCTATTTTACTAACATCGTACTGCTCACTTACATTTACGCTATGACCTTTGTATTCAATGGGTGCAGACTAGTGGAATTGTTGTGTACTTAGTATTTTTCAGTATGAGAGCCAGTGTAATTTGATAAAACTTATCTTCTTCGTCAATTGTGATGTGACTTTCAATATTTTTTTATAATGAATTAGCAATCTCGCATTGAACTTTGATTAAATTTTCGAAAATAAATATAGCTTATGTTACTCGCTGATAAAAATGTAGTGATCTATAGGTAAAAGAATTTTAAAAATCGGTTGAGTAGTTTTTGAGGTTATCCTTTACAAACAAAAAAATAATCAAATTGTAAGTGTTGAATAAACATTATTAGAAGTTTTTATAAGATTAAAATAATTATAATTTCGTACGTAAATTAAAAATATATTTAAAAAAATTCAGACGAATTGAGAATGTCTTACTTTTGGAAGTTCCTTAAAAGTACCAAAAAAAAGAAAATAATGGTATATTAATAGTTTAATAAAATTCATGATAATTCTTTAAGGCTTAAAAGAATTTTCACGTGTATTTGCATTTTTACGAATCTTTAATATTTGATTTTTAACTTGCCTTTGATGTTAAGAACAAAAATTTGTAATTATTTAGGTAGGTACAATAGTCTTTACAAGTCATTAAACTTACATTAACAGACAGACACCGAGGTAATTCCAAACTGTAATCACGATAGTCGGAGATTCATTTAAATTGTCTTTGTTCATCTCCAATGTACGCGTTTAAACCTTGAAAGAATCTACAAGAGGTACCGTTAATTATATAAACTTGTGAAAAATTAATATCTATAGACATGGAATAGTAAAATGTTACATTACTATAAAATAGTAGTAATATTACTTATACTTCCTAGTCTATTGGCATTAGGTAGATATATAGATAGGTATATAATTTATTTAATTTACAACACACTAATAACAACAGACAGAATCACAAAAAGAGATAAAAGAATACATATACAAAAAAAAGTATTTAAAAAAAGTTGTATAGAATAGAATAGAAATATTTATTGCCAGTAAACTTACAATATAAAATATAAATAACATATACAAAAAGTGTCCTACACCCGGCAAAAGGAACCGGCTCAGCTGATGCTGTGAGTGTCCCAGCGCATAGTGAACAGCTGTACAGCGCTGGTTTTCAGCCAGTCCCTCTCTTAACAAAACAACCAAAGTGCAGGGTACCACTGTATATTAAACATAATTTTCTTTTCACGCGTGTGCTATAGTAACACATAATGGTCATTACTCAGTTTATTGCTTTCCTTTAAAAAAAGCAAAATACTGATTGATATTCTGTTGTGGCTAAAAGCCATTATTTTGTTTATCTAGTATACGCCACTTAATTGAATAATTTAATTAACTTATTCCGTGGTTATGGTTAAAGTGTTTATTTTAATCTATGACAATGAAATGGTAGCCCCGCTTGTGAACACCGCTGGTACACATTGACGAGACACCAGTGAAGCATGACGAATGCAGGTCAGTTAACTACTATGATGAATTTATTAAGATTTAATCATGTTGATTTCCAAATGGAACCGCAAAGAAATCAACTTGACAGGATATATTGCCAGCAATGGGGCTGTTAGACCCCATAGTTAATAATTTCTTTCTCCCAGTTTAAAGTATTTTAATGACTCTTTGCTTTATGATGGACGTTTGATCCGTCACGTTCTTTCCCAAAGTTATAATTAACTAATAAAATAAATGGGAAAGCCAATTAAAAAGATTACTTTGCCGGTGAAATAGCTTAAAATCCGTCGAAGTCGTAGATAACAGCAATCTTCGAAGAACTTTATGTCTTTGCCAATATAGAAAGAACTATTATCATTACCCGATAACAGATGGCGTGATCCATCAAGAGTATGACACTCATAAGCTAATGGAACGTAAAATGTTTTATTTTCCAAATTATATTGAATAAAAGTATATATTTTGTTTGTGACCCTTAAAAAATACTATATATTCGTCTGTATCTTTTTAATGTTATTTGTATATGATTAACGCATCAATTTTGGCTCAATTTTAATAATCTTTTTTTGCAATTGATAGAGTTTGTACCCGTATATCTTCTATAATAATTTTGTAGTCATTGAGGCAGCCCTTTTTCTTTACGGAGCAAAATATTGATTCGTTACACGATTACATGTTTTAGAGTATATTATATTTAGTAAAAATTATATTCGTGTTTATGTAATATTTCATCGTCATCTATATATACACCATATTTTTAAATTTAAAATAAGAAGTGAGATTGTTAACAATGTAAATTATATTAAAGTTTCCAGCTATTTCTTTTTACGTAGAAACCTTTACTGTTTTAATTTATATTTATTGTTAAAGTATAAAATTGCTATGTTGTCCCAGTATAGAATAGGCCACCTATTTCAGCCTCGTGACAGTCGTAAGAGGTTACTAAATTAAAATATAACCAAAGCCTAATTGCGGTTTTCAACCTGTCTGCTAAGTATGGTAACTACTGGCAACACCTTCCTTATGGGGGAAGCCTATGTCTAGCAGTGAACAGTTAATGGTCGATATACTCGTAATGTAACAAATAAAATATGATATAACTTTAAATGTATTTTGGTAATTTATAAATTATCTTTTAGTAAAAAAGAATACAAATAATAATGATTACCTTATTCAGTGATCCCAATTCAATTACATTATTTACAATTCAAATAAGGTTTAGAGAATCAGGCGGGTACTCAATAAGCTAAAACCCTCAGAGGTTACAAGTCTCGGACGTTTTCAGTACGAAATACGTAATATTTTCCCTTTGCCAGTACTACCTTCCTTGAATATTTTCCAATGTTTCTCTTTAAGTCTTTGTAGGGTTTTGCAATTGCGGGTAACAAGGAAACATTTTCTAATAAGATTCGAGAATGAAATCGTACTATACTAGCTATTTATCGCGGTTTCATCATCGTAAAATCTGTTTTCTCTCTAAGAATGAATTTAAGAAAATCCTTTCTAGGAGGAAGGGATTTCCTATCTTCAAAACTTTAAGTACATAAGTAAGTTTATCCTGTGCGATAATAGATTAATCAAACAAATTATTAGGACGAACATTTTAAATATATAGATATTTAGATACAGGTAGTATTCCTCTAATTATACGAAAGCATTATTAATGGGCGAGGGATGGACAGCTGTGTACCTCTTAAAACATTTCCAAAGCGGTTGCCAATCCGCCTGCCAAGCATGGCAACTACTGGCAAAATCCCCCTAGGGGGAGGCTTATATTCAGCAGTGGACAGTTAAAGGCTGATATGATGATTATGTTATATCTTTGAAATTTGTTCTTATTTTATCTTATACATATAGAACTTTTGAAATATATTGACTAATAATAAAATTTTTAGAACCAACTGTATATAATGAACTTGAAAGGTTAAGTTGTTAGTCTGTATACTTGAATTTTGATTTATTAATATTTTTAAATGTATAGTATGTGACGTAGTATCATTAGCATAACAAGTGAAAAAAAAAATATATATGAAACATTTTTGTGCTAAGAAACAAATTACTGATTCAATTCTATTTTTCCTATATACCTCAAATTGTTTTCAATTTTTTTTAAGATACTGTACAATGACTGGACAAAATATCATATATGTTCTTTACACAAAGTTTACTCACGTAACGTGAACATAATAAGGTTTTTAGAATTCCCATGGAGATAGGAGGAGATGAATACTGCGTGTATATTTACATCATAATAACATCGTAGAGAAAATAAGCCTATACCTTACATTATGTATTTATAATAAATTGTAAGCAAAATTATTGAAATTTGTTCTCTTGGCGCGAGTGTTCGCTGCTTACAATTTTATATATTAGGAAAATTTCGGGGAAAACGAGGTAGACTTTAATTAGTTGGTTTTAAATTCATGAGTAAATTAAACCTCTTGTCAGTATTTGTACGAACATATTGAAATAAATTTTCATGTAAGGAAAACAAAAGTCTATTTTCTGATTAAGTATTATATTTGAAACTTTGTGTGTGTGAGTTGAACTCGCAGTTGACTTATTTCTTATAATCAATAGACTTCAAAAAGAAGTAAGTTCTAAATTCCTTTGTATTTTTGTTTTATGTTTGTTATCACATAACTCTGCCAATTGTAAACCGATTTGGAAAATTGTTTTTTTTTAAAAGATGAAAAAATATATTTACAGATTGGCCGTATAGAAATTTTATCAAAATAGATTTAGTAATTTAATTTATAATCACAATAACTGGTTTTGTTACAATTGAAGTCGGGTTTTTTGTATAATATAATTTAATTATAGTATATTATAGAAGTGTCATATGAGTTGTATCATATATAGGTAGATACTTAATTACAAACTATCCTATAAAAAATAGGATGATAAAGACGTAAGTAAAGTTATTGATGGCATATGTAAAAACAAAAAACTATGTAATATAAGTGAAAAGTAGTTACTAAGTATGAATATTTGCATTGTTTAAGTAAAACCTATTTTACATAGATAATGGAAACATAATTATGGCTACGTAATTACATAGCCATGATTGTTTTTAACACTAGTGGGACAAATATTTTATTGTTTACAGGTTTTTATTTTTTATGTTGGATGGGAGATTTTTGAATTTACTTTTAAATCTAATCGTATTTAATGATACAAAAATAAAAGAAAATAAAAAATAAAGTGCTTTTAATTTATTTTTAGTTTTATGTAAAGTGTATTTAATTAAGGTTCTTTATAGAGTGTTTAATTAAAGAAAAAAGGAAGTTTAAAATCACTTTATACAAGTCTTTAACCCGGCCGTAGTGATTGCAAGCAATAAAATGGAAAACTCCCGGGTTCCCAACAAATTCACACCTTATTTACACTGTTTGCTAAATCCCCATTTCCACGGTATCTTGATGAAGGCTCGCTACAATTGAGATTTACACCACCTCACTTTATTGAATTT